TCTTCTTCAAATTCCTCTTCTTCTTCTTCAGTTTGAAGGACTTTAGTCTTTTCAGACTTTCCCATAGATTTTAGAGCCACATATTTAACTTTTCTTTGAGGTTTATCCACTTCAAGCTCTATCTTGTAACTTCTTAAGGAACTTACAAGTTCTTCAAGAGTGGTGTCGCTTAGATCTTTAGACAACATCAGTGCAGTTACATTGACCACCATCTCTTGGGTAAACTTGTGATAGTTTTCTTAACATGATCTGCAGTAGAGTAAACTTTGTCCAGAACCTTCAGTCCTGCAACTAAAGTCTGAAACCTTGAGAACATGTTCTCAACTATTTCATCATCCTCCATTTTAAAGGCTTCATATTTTTGTATCAAGTAAAGCGTCTTAGTTTCTTTCACTTGAGCGTTTCCTTCACGAGTCACCTTTAATGAGTCAAATATAGACTTATTTGTGTCTCTATTTGTGATCTTCTCATACTCAAAATATAATATATCATTAAGTAGAATGGATCAAGCTTTATGATGATTTTTATAATCTTTCTTTTGTTGATCAGTCATCACTCTTCTTTCTAACTTGTCACCACTATTATCAATAGGATGAATGTAGCCATCAACTACCATATCCCAAAGATCCACATCATGACCAAGAAAGAAACTTTCAATTTTGTCTTTCCAATAGTCAAATTTTTCTCTATAAAAAACTAGGGGTTTGCCACTATAATGGTCTCTGTCATTGTTAGCAACAGGTGCAGCTTATGGAGGGACTCTTGCCATTGTGTTTCAAAAATTTGGATCTTTGTCTAGCACAATGAAGTGTTTGTTAAACAATCAGTACCAGAACCGGAGCTCAGATGTCAATTAAAAGTTACGGAAACACAAGAAATGAGGAAGGGGTTTGAATTAGGGTTCTAGAATGAAAATCTTTTGCTACCCAAAGCAACAATGAGAGAACGTAGAATAAAAATAATGAATACAAATGCTTTTATCATGGTTCATTTTTAACGAAGCTACCTCCAGTCCACCCGCCAAGGTGATTTCTCCTTATCACAATGATTTAATCCACTATAACTAAACTTAATTATAACCACAAAGACAAGTCAATGTCTTCTTTATACCATAGTCTCTCAAGGAACTACAACTCAAAAGTTGAGAAACAAAGTGTGTTACAAAGATGCTTCTATTAAATCTAATTACGCAAATGTATTACAACGATTTATACACAAAAATGTTTTCTATGAAAGTGTATGAACAAAATTCCCTTCCGTGTATACTTTTCTTTCACTCAAAAGTTTCATAGCATTGCAATGTTCATGTAGTAGCGTTGTTATTTTTGCTCCATTCTTCTAATACTCCTTTATATAGGAAATAGAAAGATCTGTTGGAGGGAAGAAATGAAAATCCACAAATAGATGTATCTTTGGATAATGGTTTGTAAAAATGGAAGACAAAATGGTACAATAGTACAATTGTTTTCTCACGAAATCAATGTGGTGGAAAGAATATTGATCTCCTGTTATGTACTATTTTCTCACGTAAAACTTTTTAATCTTATCTTTTAATATTCAGAGGCTTCATAAAGAGAGTTGATGAAGAATGCATAGAAGAATCAAAGTCTGTATGAGCGAGTCTTGAGAACCTGGTCTTCAGAGTCTTGATCTAGAGTCTAGTGACACAATTCATTAGAGTTGTTGAGCGCAAGAATTCATAGCTTGATAACATCATAGGCTTGTGTTATCATAGTTATAAATTGAAGCTTTTTAGATGAGCGATAATCCAAAGCGTTGAGCATGGTAATCCAGAGCTTGATTATCTTTGTAGAACACACATCATTTTATTTCTTTGAATTAAAGTTCACTAGGTTCAGAGTTTGATGATGTTACATGTCACTTTCTCAGAGACGAAACTTATTTATAGTAAATGCACATTTGACAAAATCATTAGGGTACAAAATTGTTCTTTTAGAACCTGTGTATTGCTACCATTAAAACATAAGGTCAAATGTAGAACCAAAACTTGTTCTTACACTTTAGAATAAATAAAGTTTGGTGGCGACTATGTTCAATGATTTTCCACGATTGCGTGAAGGCTTCGCGAATGATCATATTTTTCGAGATTCGACATGAGAGACTCGTCCCTAATTGAGGGACTCACCTCTAACTAAGGGACTCGTCTTTAATTGAGGGAGTCGCCTCTAACTGGGGGACTCACTCCTAGTGAAGGGACTTGCCCTTAACTACATGGTCCTTTAAAAGGAATGAAAGGTTTAAAACTACGTGGAGGATGAGCTTGATCAATTCTCACTTTAGCCCTTGTGCTTAGGCGCCCTCCCTGGAATATGTCGCCTAAGCACAATCCCAACTTAGTAGCAGGCTCACCCTTAGAGGAAACGTGAATGGTGACGTATATCCAGTCAATAACTACGCGGGGAAGTGCTCAATGTCACAATTCCTTAAGAAGTAGGCAGTAAAGGCTCATTAGTCTAGGTGGACATGTTAATACTTTTCAGAATTCCATAAGTCCAAGCTCACATGCCTCTATAAATATCTCAACCATAAGGTTGACAGAAATCAATCAGATATTCACCAAGAAATACCCCTAAATATATAGCTTCTCAACCTCGTGAGTTTGTTCTAACCTCACATAAAACACATCTAAAACAGGGCTTCTCACCCTCGTGAGCTTGCCTTTGCAACCACAAATACTAAAGCCTCTAGCCACCCCAGCCAGCCTATAAATGTCATGCATTAGTACTTTTTTTAACAAGTACAGCCCCTGAGCCACATTTCCTCTTCATTGAAAGTCCTAATCGAGGGAATAGATAAAAAACAAGAAAAATAAATAAGAAAGACACCAATTAAAAAAAAAAGTAAAAATACCTAAGGTGGATTTTGAGGCATGGTCCCTAAACCACATTTTATCTCGCTTGGGAGTACCAAAAAATAAATGGTATTTATTTTTTTTAAAATTAAAATGTTGTGTGCCGATATTATACTAGGATATAAGTTGGTTGAGGTAAAAGTTTTGTCCTAAAATATATTATTTATAATAGTGGATTGATTAGTAATCAAATTAAATAATAAGACTAATAAGATTTTTTATTAGATAATTAATTTTTTATTTAGTTAATTGATATAAATTCAATGTGATTGAACACGATAACTCATTTATAAAATATAGAGAATCCTAATTAATCATCATTATATATATATATATATATATATATATATAAACTATGGTTTTCAATATACTCAGACATATTGAATACTCTCTCTTATCTCCCATCTAAAAATGTCTAAGGCATACAAAATTTACTCGTTCGTCATTCTTTATGCATGTTCCATCTAAAAATGTCTAAGACATAAAAAATTCACGTTGAGAAATAACTACATGTCAATGGGTTGGGTGTTCGTTAGCCATTCCTCTTTCTTATGCATGTTTCAGAATTATCGTCATCAGTGTCTAAAGACATTCTCGTAGATCCAAACATTTTTATAATTTTAACAAATTATCATCTCATCTCGTAGATCTCAATTTATATGCATGCTTATATATTTATTTTGTTTCTAATGTCTAGGTTAGTTATTAAGTTAATTTCATAACACGTTGTTTTTGATTATTTTTTTTAATAACCATCTTTTTAATTTATATACTAAAAGAACCATTTTTAAAAATAAATTAATTAGAGTAACTATTTAAATTGGCGCATGCACTAAAAATTTATAAAATGTTGTCAATTAGGATAACGCGTGCTTATATCTACGACACTTTTTCGTAGATAAAAGTCTTTGTTTATGACATATAATTTATTGTACCTATGATAAAATATTGAGTGTTGTAGATATAAGTTTTACATAATATACGCACTGTGAATTTACCTACGCTTTATGCTGTCAATGTAAGCATGCATCATCAATTGGTGTCTCTGTATAATTTTATAATGTATGTGTCATTTTGAATGACTACTCCAATTTTTTATTTAAAAATGGTTACTTTGATAATTTATTTGTAAGGGTGGTTATTTTGGTATATAATTAAATTCAAAAAGGTGGTTTAATATTTTTTTTAGTCCCGTACTTAATTTTAGGGTTCATTTTTCTTTTTTAACTTTAGAAAGATCTATATTAATCTCTTAACTCATCAAAACATTTTATATTAGTTTTTTTTTTATCTTATTAGCAATCGAAAAATTAAAAATTTATTTGTTAAATTCGTCACTAATTAGACAAAAAAAATTAAGATGAAACATTTTAAAGAGTTAAAAGATCAATATAAATCTTTTTAAAGTTAAAATATAAAATGACTCTCGAGATTAAAATATGAGATAAAAGATATTAAAAAAAAGGCAAAATATCCTTCTTGGTCCCTTAACTATACCTCGGGTTCATTTTGATCCCTTAACTTTAAAAAATTCCATATTGGTCCCTTAACTCTTCAAATGTTCCATATTAGTCATTTTTTACCTATTAGCGACGGATTTAGCGACGGATTTTTGATTTTTTTCCGTTGCTAATAAGTCAAAAAGGACTAATATGGAACGTTTGAAGAGTTAAGGGACCAATATGGAACTTTTTAAAGTTAAGGGACCAAAATGAACCCCGATGTATAGTTAAGGGACCAAGAAGGATATTTTGCCTAAAAAAAAATGTTATTTTTGCAGTGATTCGTAACTTTTGCAAATTGCAATCCAATTATCTTTTCTATTCTCGTAATGCTTCCTTTATGAACACATTAGATATACGAATCACTTTTGCAAATTGCAATCCAATTATCTTTTCTATTCTCGTAATGCTTCCTTTATGAACACATTAGATATAACTTGTATGATTTCTTTATGGGCACATTAGAAATAACTTATTTTCAAGTTCCCTCTCTCATAAGCCATTCCTTCCTCATACGTATTCTCTTAAAAAGGTCTCATAATCACAAACAAATCCATCTATATATTAAGCTTAAGCCAAATTTAGAAAGGAGAACCAAATCATTCCATTTGAGATATCCATAGATAATGGTTAAGCTAACTATAGTTGGAAGGGCAAGCGATGGATTACCTCTAGCACAAGGACTAAGATATGTGAATGAAGAAAATTCCCATCTTTCATTTTACAAGCAACAAGCTGAGCTTATACTCCAAGAAATTTCAAAAGGAGCTTTATCACATTCCATGATGACCATTCTCATTGACCATTACTGCTTCAAGTATCCTTATAATAATTTTTCTATTACTGTTTTTTTTTTTCTCTCTAATTGCTTTAGATGAAATTCAACAAAAATTTGATTAATTATATAATGTTCTTTTATTATTAAGTTTCTTGGTAGAAAATGGAGTTGTTTACATTGTTTTGTGTGAGTTCCCATACCCAAGAAAACTAGCATTTCTTTACTTACAAGACATACAAAAAGAGTTTGACAAGTTTGATAAAACCCTAATAGGAAAAATCACAAGATCATACAGCTTTGTCAAACTAGGTAATTCCCTTGAAACCATTAATAAGCTACACTAATTAGGAAATATTTCTTTGCCAAAATAAAAATAAAAATCATAGTTATATTTTCAGATGGTATAATTGCAAAGTTTAGTAGACAATACATTGATACAAGAACTCAGGCTAACTTATCAAAACTTAATCTCAAAAGGAAACAAGATTTAGAAATTGTTACAGAAGAAATGTCTAACATTTTAGAAAGGAGGAGAAATTCAGGTAAGTTTTCTCACCCTCCTAAAACTGATTATCTGCATTAACAAGTTTACATGAAAAAAAAAATGTAAAACAAGTTATGCAATTTTTTTGGTGACATGGTAATATCTTTTATTTACAGAAACAATAAGAAGGTTACAAGTTACACCTGAACCTGCATCCTCAATATGGTGTTCTCCAAGCCTTGAGGTAATGTGTTATACTTTTAATTCTAAAAGAATAATAAAAAAAATGCTAAACTTTGGTGCTTTTAATTCAATTAACTAATTATGCATTATTGTTTTGGAGCATAGGTGATTGCTATGAAATGGACACCAATTATGATCATGGTGATTACTTCTATTGCTCTACTATGGGCTAGCTTAGTCCTCACAAACGACTATGTTATTTGAGGAATAACAGAGAAAGAGAAAGACAAAAGTTGTTGGATCCTGTTAAACCAGGAATAACATAGAAAGAGAAAGACAAAAATTGTTGGATCCTATCAAAAAACTTTTTGAAAACATTCAGATTTGTTATGGAGATTTTATTGTCTACCTTGAAAGTGACAGGTTTCATTGAAATGAAATAAGTATAATTTTAAAACAATGATATTCCTACGCTACAAATATATATTTATACCGTATTCCATTGTTCAAAAATAAAATAAAATAATAAATAATAAAATATTAAAATAAATATATAAAACATTATTATTATTATTATTATTATTATTATTATTTTTATTTATTATTATTATTATTATTATTATTATTATTATTTTTATTATTATTATTAAAGGATACTCATATAAAATTGTGTGATTAACCATCAACATTTTATTTTTATTAAACAATCTTATTTATTGTTAAAAACTATTTTTTAATATCTGAACGTTTGTCAACCAATTTAATAAATTCATTAACCAACTTTTTATTTTTTATTAATCAGCTTTATTTTACTAATAAACTCTACTTTTAATATCTGAGTGTTTATTAACCACCTTCATCACTTCATTAACCAATTTTTTTAATATTTTATTAACCAATTTTGTTTCCCTATTTAAAATAATTGTTCATATATTACTGCTCACGCACTGTTCATGACACTGTTCATAAATATATATTTTTTATTTTAAAAAACAACGTTCTCCGTATAAATATGGTGAACAGTATATACGGTGTAAATATTTGGTGTCAGAATAACATTTCTGATTTTAAAATTCATTCGTTCGGTTCTATTGGCTAAACTAATATTTTTTTTTCTTCATAAAATAAATTATCCTATAAAAGAAAAACAAAAATATTTACACTTGAATGAGTTAGATCTAATACATAAGCCAAATTACGCAAAGAAAAAAAAATAGAAAAAAGAAATTTGAACCAAAACTTAGATCTACTTACCTCCATAATTGTGAAACTACCAAGCCTAAAAACATCAAGGTCAAACAAATCTAAAGTTCGACAAATCCAACCTATCTTTGAAATTTACATCTGCAATGAACTGAGATAATATTTTTCACCACGTAAAATTTGCAATTTCATGATCGTGATTAGTAAGACCATCTGCGCACATGCTGCATTCTTTGTAAATATCAGTATAAGCCTTATTGATATGAATAAGCTTACAATTAAACTATGTTACATAAATCCCAAGGTATGAGGTCATCCCTCATTCTAGAGTAATTTGTGAATTTGTTTCTATCCAAACATTCAACTAGCCTCTCCTGTTAACCTCATTAATCGTTATCATAATCAAAAGAAGTTCTGCTTTGAGAATATTTTGCACCCTAAGACTTACCACAAATGCGCTCAGAAAATCTCCTTAGTGATCCCTTGCAATTCTACCCATTGCTAGGTTACCTCTAACCAATCCATTTGTGTTAATCTTAATCCACCTAAAATTTGGCTTTCTCTAGAAGATTTCAATTCATACGAAATAGCTCAAACTTTTGATTTAATGTGTTGATCCTAACTTATTTGACATCATTAGTACCCTCATGGGCAACTTCTAATGTGTCCCACATAGTCTTGACAGTCTCACAATGAGAAACGCAATTATACTCATCAACACCTAAAGTGAGTGTGAGAATACTTTTCGCTTTCCAATCATGTGACCATAATTTCTAATCATTTTCATTCCATTGTGCTTCCAGTTTAGGTACGGTAACACCCTTAGCATTGGTCACGACAATTATTTCATTCGGACCATTTTGATAGCGTCTCATATACCCTTGTTAACAGAGTTGACATGAATACGCATAAAAGCTTTCCAATAGCCATAATTTTCGTCGATAAAAATTGGTGTTGTGTTATACGCTTTCTTAGGTTCGATAGTCATTCTTCTAAAAAGTAAATCTTAAGCACGAAACTAACTGGAGCTCGTGATACCACTTGTTAGCCAAAAGGCTTCTATCTAGAGAGGGTGAATAGATCACAAATTTAAAAACCAAACTTTTGGCAAAAATGGTTTTCAAAAGTTTTATGGCACAACAAAAACAACCTGAATCGAATTGTCTAACCGAACCTCTATCGAAAAGCCCGGATATGCGTAAAGGCACACAATTGAATTATAATGAATACAAATTGTTCAAGAACGATTAATCACAAACAATAAAATGCTAAGATATATGTAGATCTTATTTCCAATGATAAAAAATCACAAAAACACAAACAATGCAATTTATCGAACACCTTGTGTGCAATCAATATTTTTTGGAAATTTAATTTGTTTTGTTGATCCAAAACCAATCACAATTAATCGGATTATGATTCTATCAACAAGACCTAGTTCAAAAATATGATCAACAATAATTTCCAATCGAATTGATCAAACAACAATAGATTCAATAATTTACTAACACAAAAATTAAAAGAGAGAGAGAGAGAGAGAGAGAGAGAGAGAGAGAGAGAGAGAGAGAGAGAATGATTTTTTTAGGCAGTTTCCCAATCAACCTCGCTACGGGTATGTCGGCCCTTAATTCAAATTCGAATTGAGATACTTGCAATTAACCATACATTGCAAAAAGTGTATATACAAGAGATGAACAACTCTAGTCCTACAATCCCTATGGTTTGTTGTTGACTCTACCACCTCTAAAACCCTTGATCAAAGATTGATCAAGTCACCAATAATGCTGCTTGAATTCACCAATTCTTGCTACTTCCTTGCAAGCCACCTCCTTGTCCAAAGGCTTTCACAAGGTCGAATTAATCTCAAACGCACACTTGTTGAGACCCAAGATTTACCAACACGATCCATTGTCTCACGCTACTCCTTTGCAAGGCACCCCTTGTCCTATGACTTTCACTCGATCGGATCTGAATTGGGTAATCTTGTCCAAAACCTTCAAATCCTCAATGATATTGAAGGGAAACCCTAACTCAGTTTTCTTATTTGAAACACTCAAAGAACTCAACCCAATATTCTCGGTACTAGAACCTAATTGGGCGTTATCAAACCTAATCTAGATGGTCATCCAATCAAAAAATGATTATGTGTAGTTTGATTGTGTGTATGCATAAAAGAGGGGTTGAAAATGATGAGCATGCTTTGAAATTCTGGTTTCATGTGGATTTTACTCTAGCACGCTTTCTAGAAAAAGATGCATGTATCAAGTATTTATAAGTATGCAAGTTTGAAAGCAAAAGGAATCCAAAAGAATGTAAAAATTCAAGTTTTCAGGTCAATAGGTCAACCTATCAAAGCAATATGTCGACCTATAAAGGTCTTAGGTCGACCTACACCAATCAACACATAGACATAACCTACAGGCTTCAATATTGAAGCGTGTGTGTCGAACTATATACTGTATGTATCGACCTATAGTTGCATGTGTCGACCTATAATTGTATGTGCTGATACATGACTTGTATGTGCTGACACATGACTCGTATATGCTGACACATAACCTATAAGTGTCGACCAATGTTGTAGCGCATTTTCTATGAGTCGATCTATGTTGTAGCGAACTTCAAAAAAACTAATTTTAATGCAATTTTTTATGTATGAACTTTTCAAAAACACTTTAATGCTTCCTAATGATAAGATACACAAATAGAATCGGAGGATACAATCCAATATACATTAACGCTAAAATATCCTAGTTTTGACATCATTCAAAATATATATAATAGGAAGTTGCACTCATAAGTTTCATATTTGAGGATTGAGTTTTAATCTGTGTTTTAGCATGCATAATTCAAAGTGTTTATGTTTGAGTATGAATATTATGTTTAGGTCAATCAGTTGAGTTTTTTTTAACAAGAATGAAAATTGAGATTGATTCAAGTTATTTCAAAGGTAGAATCTCAACATAGTCAAAAACATGATTTTTATTTTTAGATTTTGGATATATGAGTCGAATCACACACATCCATGAGTCGAATCAAATAAGTCAAAGATGAACATGATATTTCTGGTGCTTGTGAGTCGAATCACAACTAGCTCTTGATTTGAATCATGCAGATCTGAGTCGAATCATAGTGTATGCTTGAGTTGAATCAAATATCCTTTTCCATCCACTTCCTTCTTTGAGTCGTATCATACCCATGTCTTGACTCAAATCATGAACCTTGTGAGTCAAATCATGCTTATGCCTTGAGTCGAATCACATAAATGGGTGTTCTCTTTTAAGTGTTAATCTTATATATCATTACTTTACAAACTTGATTCAAATCAACAAAATCTCTTGACTCGAATCAAACATGAATTTTTCACTTCTTTTTGTGCTTCATCTGTAGCACACATAAATCATTTTCATCTCTCAACCTTTAATAATTTTAGAAAATATATTCTTTCGTTGATGATTTGAAAACACACAAACCATTTGATCTTTCATTTTAAAAGTGTTTTGAATCTTTCTTGAACACCTTGCGATTGATTTATTTCATATTATTTCTCATAATTTATTAAACAGTTTCTTTTATGGATTTAATGATTCTTTGAAGATTTGTTTAAGATTTCAGAGGCTTGCAAGAGTGTGTTGTGTTGTGACTAGTTGTGAAAATTCCAGTGGAAAAGAAGAAGGTTTGTCTTTCCAAGTTGACCTTGGTAGCATTGTGTGGAAGTCTACAGACGGGGCAAGGGTTCTTTTGATCTTCAAACAAACCAACACTTAAAATACCTGCAGATTGTATGGAAATTACCAAATACACTGACTTAGGAGCAGGTTGTTTGGCCTGGAAGATTCAAGAAGCGGTCTCGAATAATGATTTTGCATAGAGTTCAGTTCTTGGAGCTGTGTACAAGTCAAGATCCGGAATAGGAGAAATTTTATATTCAATATTTATTTGTAGATTAATGGTTGTAATAACTCTTGTAATATTGTTACAAATCATAGTGGAATAATAACGAATTTTTAGTGTGAAACCATTATAGAGTGGATTAAGCACAAAGTGAGGATGAACATGTT